TTCTAAATTTGATAACTTTGCAGAGAGCCCGTTTTCATAACCTGTTTTCCGCGTTTAAATTCAAACTGAGTAGGATTATAGGATCGCTGGGATTCTCAGTCAATGGCAACGGGTCTTCATTCCAGAACGCACATTTTTTTAGTTGATTCTCCGTCATAGTACTTGTCTAAAGTCTATCTGCTCTTTTACTGGCATACTTGGACATATTTCCCCTCCTTAAATTGTCCTCCTTAAATAACACCCTCTCGCCGATTTATATATAGCCATTTCCCAGAACCCGGGAGTCAGAATCGCTGATGTTTGCCATATTGAACATGTTGAAATATGTACTGTAATATCTGTAATACTAGGCATTGCCTGCTACGCGTAAGGGTCACGTGACTAGCGCGATACAGGAAAAATGGGGAATTTCGAAACAACAATTTTTGGGCACTTTTATTGCAAATTTCAGGTATTTATAAGTGTTTGTGGTATAAAATATAATCCACAGACATAAATGAACATCCAAACTACATATTTTATTACGTTTTGGAGCCTTTTTTGCTTTTAAAATGACATCTTTAATTGACTCGCAGACAACAAATCTGCAATTTAACCATAAGCTGAACAGTGAACCAATATTATCACGCCAAAATATTTTGAGTACACATTCTCTAATGTTGCCCCTTGTGCCTTCTAATCTGAACACAGCAAACTATTCTGGAACAGACATCCATAAACATACAGTGTATTGTAAGCATCATTCTGGAACAGATATTCATCTATTATATGTATTGAAATGCTTTAACATCAAGACTTGTCCAACTCGATACAATTATGCTCATTAGAATCTTAAATGACAAATAAATTCACTATACTTTCAAATAATAAAGTAGATTTAATGGGGAAAACCACTAATGATCACCATAGATGATCTATGAGTTGCTTTGCATTAGTCAAATTGATTGAATTTGTAAGGTCAAGATCACTATTTCCTAGTTTAATATTCGTATGAGTGTATGCCACATTCAAGACACCAACTGTATTGGCAGAATTCTCAGTAGAATGAAAGCAAGGCTGAATTTCGAAATTTTGAACGATATTAATCATGCTTTTAACAATCAATTGAATCTATTTTAGGGATTTGGACTGATATAAATGCATGAATACAGGGGTTTCACTACAATTTTTCACAACAGGCTAAATAAATGAAAACAACAGGCAAAATTAAAGGAATTCTAGGCGATAAAAATAACAAAATATTGCTTCTGGGACAAGATCAAACGACTTTGACACATTCTTTACCCTACCTCTTTTGTAATTTAACAATCAACACAAGTATACATACTATATTTCAGCAGATATAGAAAAAAAATATTTTTGATCGATAAAATCATGGATTATAAAACCGGAAGTGTTTTCTGTGAGGCCCATGGGGAATATTTTAATTATTTCAAATTTTGCCATGGATTTGATTTTAAATGCATACTATGATTTCTATTTGTAATGTTTTGACTTCCCCGCTTCATAAAAACAACATTTACCATTTACTTGACTCGAAAATTCACTTCCGGTCTATCGTGAGCTGAAAGTTGTCGTGAACACCTTTCAATCCTCGTCTAAATATCAGGTTCAATAGACGACTTTGAATGGACCTTTGAAATTCGCCTGTTACCTGCTGCTAATGAAACCCCTGTGAATATCACCATAAAAAGAAAAACAATTCAGAATTGAAAATGCTGTACATGTGACCTGGAAATTATGTAGTCATTTTCAATTCAAGAAAATGATGTAAAGACTCCTTTTATTGATCTTTTATTGATTTCATTTTAACTCATCTCATTTAAGATGGTATTATGGTAAATACAAACATTGTCAAACAGATAGAAATGGCTGAATTAACATTGGTAAGTGAATTAAACATCATAAATGGCTGATTATACTTTTTAAAGTTTTTAATTTATATTTTGGGACTGATATTCAAAAAGCATCTTGATCCTTTGATTGATACATGTTCAGTAATTATATAAACAACACTTCTTGGCACTACTGAATCTGTTTGCAAGAATAAGAAGGATACATTTAAATAAAACTCACCAATCCTTCGTACATGACCCTATGGGAATTTTTATGATCTTTGTTGGACCAAATAAGAATAACAAGTAGATCTGAACATATGTGGTTACAGGCTCATAGCCAGTTTTTGCCAAGGGGGCTTCACTTTTCCAAAATTTCTAGGGAGGTTCACATTTGACTATTCTGGCCCAAAATGGCTAAAATCACTTGAGAAGTGCTTGAAGTAATCCTTCATGCATAGTAAGGCTACTTCATTCAGTAGTCGGGGATCCCTTAGCAGTTACAGACGGTGTTACCAGCAGCACTTTAACAGACATTCACTTGAAATGCTCTATGCTGGATTCGCATGACACTTTTGGGCCAAGATGGTCACAACAGGATATTTTGTTTTATTTTTAGAATTATTTAAAAACAAAAATACATCTTGATTCAAGAGATATATTCCCAAATAGTATACTTTTCAACTGACAACTTCAAATCAGTAAAGAAAAGAATCAAATAAAGTCACACTTTTATTTATTTATGCCGTTGCGACCACTAACCTGATCATAACATTTTCCTAATGTTGATTGAAGTTTCCAATTGTTATGAAATATTTTCATTCATATTTCATAACTGGCAGGTAAGAATCAGAACAAAGTTAATAACTTAACTACATCTTTTTATGTATATTTATGTTAACACATCTTGAAAAACCATTAAAACTAAAACACGGTTTTCCATTTTAATGTATATTGTACACCAACAGATAAACATTGCATTTGTTAGAACAAGTGCTTTGTTTCACCTTACGCTTTGAAACCATTAAACTCATTGGCCTAGACCTATTTTCAAACTCATTCATCTATATTTCTCGCTGAATTTCCTCATAAAGGATGTTGCTAGATAAAGATATACAATTGTAGCTAATAAATCAGTCAATTCGAAGATCAACTACTGTAGCGACTGCACGGTAGATTGGCTCTAATGTTTCGCTAATAACAAGTTTACTTGGAAGTATTATGACACTTGATAAAATCTCGAAGAAATTATTTTTCATGTTTGGTTGTTGTAGTTTTGAGCACTTTGATTCTGTGGATCTATATAGATAACTTTGCACCTAACAGAATGTTGGCTTTACTAAAAATGTTTCATTTAAACCTTCTGCCACATGCATGTATTAACCTAGTTGCATCACTTTTTAAATGAGATGAACTCATATCACTTGGCTTGGAAGGTTGAAAAGCAGGGTCAATAAACTTATGGTAATATACCATTATTCATAGTTACATGGCTTAAAGCAACAAATTTCAAATTTCCTGAAAATTGAATGGCGAAAGACTCGGGCCAAGTGAGCGGTAGGTTTCGGCGGGTCCTCATTCCATAAAATTTGGGAAAAATGAGATTTGATTTAGTGCTTTTTAGAGTTGTAGACCCATTACATATACTTTCAAAGGAATCAACATGGTGAACTGAAGTCAACAATGTTTTTCTCTTAAACCAATTCAGTGTTCTCCCTAATTTTTCAAAAGTGAGCGGTAAAAATTTTGAATGAAAATTAATGGGTGGTGACAGTATTATTACAGTGGTGCAAAATTAAATAAAAAAGTGCCTTAAAAAAGTCGGCGGCGATACAATTCCTAAAATAACTTATATATATTAACATAAAATCACATATGGCACCAAGAACAAAAGAAGTGTCTCATGTGTTTTCTAAAACAATATAGAGAAAAGGATATATATATATTTCAAATTATAATGTTACCATCCAAAAGATGACCATTAAATTGACGATGTCAGGCCTCGACACTAGCATTTTTTGCCTGGTGCCAAAATAACTACCTGGCCAATTTTCAGGTAGCTATTTGCTTGTGTCAGGTAGTTCTTTATAAAATGATGTTATTAAATTTTTCAAATTATATATACCCAGCATATAATGTTTATTTTGTGCCAATTAAGCCTATTAACGCATCGATGCGCACATTTATGCCCATGCAATACTCAAACATGTAGGCATGAAATCATTGGCATTTTCTAATTGGCATTGGCCATTTAACATAAAAGTGGTGGCTACTTCAGTGTTTTCAGTAGGTTTGTCCAAGATTGCGTCCCTGGGACGTAACGATTTTCAAAACATGCGTCTCCACTCAAAAAACTGCGTCCCTTGAAAAAATGTTCCCGGGAATTCAAAGTCACGCTTTTACACTAACCGAAATAAAATTGATGAAATTTTGTATCGCTTTTGCTATTTATCGGTCTAAATCAGTGTTCTGGCGAGTCTAGTATGTCATTGAATGATACAGATACCATCACTTGTGAGGTATAACTTTATATTCAACCATTAGAAACACATTTTTTTTGCGTATTTCGAGGCAATTAGCTACTGTTTTTGCTTTAGTTTAGGGGCAATCTGTGCGAGGTTCAATTTTTTGGTTCAGTTTCTTGCGCATGCGCATTCTTAAATAATGATCTTGTGATCGCACTTGACCAATAGAAAATGGTTTAAATAGGGTCTTAAGCTAGCGGCCAATTGTAAGACTCGAACTGATTACTGCTCGGATATCAAGTATTGGATAACTATGAAACTTCGAATGAAAATTTTATTTCTTTTAGAAATAGAATTTCCATCAATTATTTAGTGGATTCACGAAGTGATTTACGAAATTCAAATTGCATCCCAAAAACGTAATTATTTTTTTAATTTACGTCTTCCCAATCTTGATTTACGTCCTCTCCATTGAAGGACACTGTTAATGAAATCACTGCTCCTTGCTTTTAGGATGTAGGGGGAGCAATTAGACTCAATGGCAGTTTTTTATCATGTCTTGACAGATGACGTATTGTGCCGTAGACTTGGACTAGGTAAAAATCCCTCGATACAACTTTCTGTGACATAATCCATTCATAATCAATTGAACTCGGCAACTTGTATCGTAGGCTATTGCGTAAGGAAGCTGACAACTTACCCATTGGTGGTTCGTCATCAGAATCGGTCTGCATTGCTTCATCACTTCCATTTCCAGCAAATGACACACCTTTCTTTTCCATGTTTGGAACACCAGATACTCCTCCACTACTTTCATTCAGCTTTGTGAAATAGTCGGCAGCAAACTGTACCAAATCTGGGGGTTTTTCTCTCAAAACTGCAACTGTGAATTCTTGGAGCAAATCTGTCAACCCAGCTGGGATCTCGAAATTCATTTTCTTTCCGCGAATTTATTACGTTGTTCCTCACTGTTACAGCTTTTGTCTGCGATATAAATAAAATAATATAGTTTTGGTTCAAATATTTGCGTATTTTGTTAAATCGAGTTGAGTGAAATTAAGGACGATAATAGAGAAATAATGTAATAGAAATTTACCTGCACTATCTGGACCACAGTTTCCACTGTTGTAGAGATCTGACGTCATAAAATGTTAATATCACTCCGCTTGCATGGTTTCAAGAGATCTTCAGAATATACGATCCTTAAATTATATGAAGATTAATCCAATCTTCCCATTTCCATGTTTCTACATAAATGAGAGCAATGTAAGCAAACAAAGACACTGAATGATTAGTAATATAGGAGATCTAGTTCTAGGGGTAAAGTTGTTAAGACGTTGTTTGGTTCTATTTGGCGCGAAATTCAAACGTGCCAAGAAAAAAGTAAATTTCTTAGAAAATAAATCATTATTATCTAGTTACCAATAACCATTTAAAAGTAATAATTTGAAATGCTATTTTCTTCAAGATTTGGTCCACCGAACTTGTTTAGATAATATGTAGTGAAGGTGAAAGTTCAAAGATAATTGTTCAAGCATTTCGTGATACAGATATCACCGTCATTAGCACCTGACCCGGAAGTAGGAGTACACAAAATAACAATGGAATAGAAAATGTTGACAAATTCACTGTTTTCTCGACAACCAGCTCATTTTCAAATCTTATAGATTAGCAAAGGTATGAATAATAATTCTTTTTTACGTTTTCCTGGAAATAGGACGCCTAAGTTGACATTTGTCTCTTGAATATAAACAGTTCAATTCCTTTTTGTCCATAGGCCAAGGGTTATCGCATCCTACGACCCCTTTAGATTGTGGTCGTAGGCCCGATTCATTAGTAAGCCTGTGTTTCTACAATGTCGGAGAATGAACTATGCATTGCACACATAAATGACCTACCTCGATACATTCCTGAGTATTTTAGAATTCTTTTCATATAGTTGAATCGCAAATTGTATGGGTTTATCGGCAGAACGAGGATATTTTCGTTTTTGATAGCAATATTTGCGTGTAGGTTCAACCGTCAAATTCCTCCATTCAGTTCCCGGCATGCACCAGTCATAAGGGAAATCCCTGGGGAATTCCCCTTCCGACATTTTGAAAATTGCTGAGATATTTCCGATGTAAAAACTAAAATCTCTTCGTTCTGACGATAAACCCATACAATTGGCGATCTAACAACATAAAAAGAATTTTAAAATACTCTGGAATGTATCGAGGTAGGTCATTTAATAGCGCAATGCGTAGTTCATTCTCCGACATTGTAGAAAGACAGGCTTACGAATGAAACGGGCCTACGACCACAATCTAAAGGGGTCGTAGGATGCGATAAGCCAAGGGCAGGGAGGGGAGATTTCCCAAAGATGGCCTTTGGTATTACGGCCATTATAAAATAAATAAAATTCTGAATGCAACAAATAAATAATAGTATGATACTTCAAGTTGGTCACGTGCGTAAACCCAAGGTGTTCAAGGTGTTCTCTTCGAGTATTGCATTGTTGGTAGACTAATTACTCAAGAACACATTCCAATAAAAAATTAATTTGTGGGAGAATGTTCACTTTCTGTATTGTCATTATTATGATGAATTCCATTTTTTATTTAATTATCAACATATATATGTAGACATGGGCTTTCAACTAGAAGGGTAGGCAACTTCCCATATTTCATACATAAACATTGCCATGGGTTTTCAAAATTGGAGAATGTACACATTCCAAGAAAATCTTATTTTGTACGTTTTATTGATGATTAAAAGAAATAACTCAAAAATAAAAACATGATCTTCTACATACATCTTGATAATTTAATAAAAATTGGAATTCATCCTAATTATGACAATACAGAAAGTGAACATTCTCCCACAAATTATCTTTTTATTGGAATGTGTTCTTGAATAATTACCCACAATGCAATACTCAAAGAGAACATCTTGATAACTCTTATTCTTATTGGTCTCTTTTGTTTACTTTTATATGATATTGAATATATTTTATGCTTAAATCATATTAAAAATTGATTTTTATTCAAAATAATACTAAAACATATACATTTATCTAATACTTTTTGAAATATTGCCATAAAAGGGAAGCATGTCATTGCTCATTTTGAAGGTCTCATGTTATTACATAGAGTTGCATACCCTTCTAGTTGAAAGCCCATGATGTAGATAATCATGTTTTTATTTTTGAGTTATTTCTTTAAAACATCCATAAAAAGTACAAAATAAGATTTTCTTGGAATGTGTACATTTTCCAATTTTGAAAACCCAAAGGCAATGCTTATGTATGAAATATGGGAAGTTGCATACCCTTCTAGTTGAAAGCCCATGGTTCTCTACACAAATGTTGAATATGGTATTCACACACCTGAAGCATGGTTTTTAAAGTTAAATAAAGTTAAATAATATTCCTATGCAAATTGTATGTAATTGTGTTGATGTAGCGTTTATTAAGTTAAGTGCATTATATTTGATTAATCAGTATCTGAAAGTTTGATTTGAGTACTTTAACATTAGTCCCAATCAAGCAAATTCCTTGAATGTCACGTGACATCCCGCAAAAGGTGAATGTTCCGCGTAATCTCGCAAATTTAGGGCACTTTGTCTAAAAAAATCCCTGTTAACTGTCCCTCAATTAGCATGTTTGTCCCTTCGAATGGTCCTGCGAAATCCCACGAATTTGATCAAAATTTGGTCTATAAGCGCAATCACGCAAATCCCTTAAATGTCCCGCGAAATTCCACAAATTTAGGTGGATGTCCAGCAAAATCCCGAGAATTTTGGCCACTGTGTCTAAGAAATCTGTCCGGCGAGAAAATCTTTGGGGGTTGACAGTACTAGTAAACAAATGGTGGTTATTGCTTCATTTCAATAAGCTAAAACGTTTTTAAGTAAAAGCATATCAGAGAACATTGGAAAATGAACTAAAGAATGAAAAAGGTATGGCATTTGCATGAAAACGAGATTGGAAAATGTGTTTTTAGCAAATTTATTTTTTGTAAAAACATTGATGTTTTGTTTCAGACTATCGCCAGAATCACTTTTGGAATGAATATCGCGATGTATCGATTAATCGCGACTACACTATAGGCATCCTTTCCACAGAGATATACAGTTTAGACCATAAATATGTCATGGATTTGCTTTATTTCCCATGTTAAAAATAAGAGAATTTTCAAGAGGCCATACATCAATGGATGGTAGTATACAAAATGTAAAATATACAAAGGAGTGGTATCGATATGGAGAACTTTTTGAACACACGTTTCTCTTAAACCAGTCATAAAAAAATCTAAAAATTTAACACATCATCAATTTAATGGTCATCTTTTGATTGGTAATGATATGATTTGAAAAATATATATATTCTTTCATAATTTCATCTACATGTATATTGTTTTAGAAAACACATCAAACACTTGTTTTGTTCTTGGTATCATGTTTCCAGAGTGAAATGAAACATCTTTCCGAACCTCATTGGAACAAAACGACATAAACACAACTGTTTAGGTCTCCCAATATTGTAATTGTACAAAGGAAATTTTGGTTGATTTTAAAAAAGTATCTTGTTAATGAAATAAAAGGTTTATCTTGATTTTAATCTATTTTGGGGGGATTTTGTTTTAATTTTTTGAATACTTTTTTAAAATTAACCAAAAATTCCTTTGTATTACTATAATATTGAGAGGTCTAAAAACATGTTGTATATGCTATTTTGTTCCAACAAGGTTCGGAAAGACGTTTTATTTCATTCTCAAGTATTGGTAGAAAGGAGCAAAAACAATTGCACTAAAAAACAAAAAATGTTAACAAAAACAGTTACATAAAATATTTCTAAATAATTTTTTTTTAAATGTTAACAAAAACAGTTATATAAAATATATATAAATAATTTTCACATTAAATTGTTGTCAATCAGTCAACATTACATAAAATACTGTGTTTTTTTACAGAATGTTTTCAATGATTGGTTTAAGAGAAAAACATTGTTGAATTCAGTTCTCCATATCGATACCACTCCTTTTAGGGGATATGTATGTAGACAATATTGGAAACTATATGGGCTTTCTTCAAACCACCATGGTTTGAAAATGGTAATAGAAAATCGACTTCTCATTTATTTATGGTCCAAACTGTATTAACATATCAAATTGAATCAAACTGAAATGTTATTTTCAATTGTTGCAAGGTTTCTGCAATGCAAACATATTTTTATCTCTTTATCTCTCTCAACTTTTGCTCAGAGACAACACAGATTAGGTTCATCTACATCTAGTTTTCTTTGTCACCACACTGGGTTTGTATGGAAGATCGGGCATAGTCCTTTTGTGTTTAGCTTCTTCTTAATAAAAGGGGACTCTATTGTAAAATATGTAGTAAAGGAGTGGTATCGATATGGTGAACTTTTTGAACACGCATTTCTCTTACAGCAGTCATCAAAACATTCTGAAAATTTTACACATTGTCAATTTAATGGTCATCAGTTGGATGGTAACATTATAATTTGAAATATATATATATACTTTTCTCTATATTGTTTTAGAAAACACATCAGACACTTCTTTCGTTCTTGGTATCATACGTTCGGAATGAAATGAAACATCTATCCGAACCTCATTGGAACAAAACGACATAAACACAACTGTTTAGGTCTCTCAATATTGTAATTGTACAAAGGAAAGTTTGGTTGATTTTAAAAAAGTATCTTGTTAATGAAATAAATGGTTTATCTTAATTTTTATCTATTTTGGGGGGTTTTAAGTTTTTGCATACTTTTTGTTTAATCAACCAAAATTTCCTTTGTGTAACTATAATATTGAGAGGTCTAAGAAAATGTTGTCTATGCTATTTTGTTCCAACAAGGTTTGGAAAGACATTTTATTTCATTCTCAAGAATTGGTAGAAAGGAACAAAAAACAATTGCACTGAAAAACAAAAAAGTCTAATCATTCTAATAAGCTACGATTATTAAACAACAAAAATGACCAAGATGAAAAAATAATGGAAGCAATATCCATCTGAGAAATTTGACTAAATCTTACAAATTATACAATATTCCAAATTACTAATTTTGATTTAGCAAAAAGTTGGTAGATTTCAGTCTATTGCTTTCTATATACATACTCACTGTTAAAATATGTTAGTTCTTGGAGTACTTTTACAAGGTTTCACTTTGTTAACACATCTTTTACAAATGGCATCACTGAATGACTACTATGCATCAATATCCCGGGATCAATATGTGGAAATTTTTGGTTTTCCTATTGAGTTTTCTGTGACAGGCTTTAAGCAACCTTTTGTTTTTTGACATGATTTATCTGTTCCAGTTTTAGTTCATTTGTGTCAGAAGTAAAACAGAGGTATTTAAGGAAAAATCAACAATATAAGGCAATCTAATTATTCCATAATTTTATGTATTTATTATTATTTGGTTTATTTTTTTCAGAAACCATGAAGGGGATAGGGGCATTCTCACTGATTTTGTTCTTGTGCAATGGGGACCTTGTACCAGCATCTAATACCACCACAAAACCTACAACTGGACCTACAATAGCTCATTCAACAGCACCAACAACATGGCCGATTCCAATAGAATCATCAGAACCTACAACAGGGCAAACTAAAGCCCATTCAACAGGGCCTTCAATAGGACCAACAACATGGCCGATTACAACAGAATCATCAGAACCTACAACAGGGCAAACTAAAGCCCATACAACAGGGCCTTCAATAGGACCAACAACATGGCCTATTACAACACATACAACAGGGCCTACAACAGCACAACCAGGTCAACATGTATGTGCAATGCAGACTTGTTCACCTAGCAATATAACAGCAGCTAGTGACATCTATCAATATTGTGTAGATAGAAACTTAACTTTCTCAGGAAGATGCTGTTTAAATGGCACACAAATAGATGGCATTGATCTATCAAGTTGTAAAATCACATTTGATATCCTTACAAAATATGCAGACGAACTTGAAAATGTGCAAATAATATCCTTAGCTGGCGTGACAGAACCAAACTGCTCAGATCACTCTATATGGAAATATTTCCAAGGTCAAACCTCGTTAAATACTTTGATTCTATCGAAAATGTGCACATGCCCTGGAGGTATGAGTTCCTGGGAGAGTATAACCCTGGGGGACACAAGTCTTACATGTGACACTCAAAGGGACAGATGTAACCTGGATGACATTAAGTGCCCCCTCCAGAATACACAATGTCAGATGAATGGTCCAGGTGCTGATCTGCTATGCCAGTGTTCTGATGGTTATTTCGGGTATAAATGTCTTAGAAAGGGAAATTTCCCGATCATATTATTTGGTATAGTAACTGCAATTACCACAGGCATGGCTTCTATGTTGCTATGGGGGGCAAATAGAAAATTATTTATAAATGTCGGACCTAATTTTACACCAGTTGAGATATCTTAATTATGTACCACGAAGGAAATCCCCAGAGATAACTCAGTCCTTTTCGGACACCCATGCTTTTACAAAATACATATCAGTATGTATTGCTCATCAAACTTTGTTCTGCTTAAATGTAACATTTTATTTTTACACAACACATGTGTTACACTTTTAGATTCAAAATTTCAAGAATAACCCACATAGATTAGTCTGTAGCTGTTTACCATTGTATCATCAGATCATTGTATTTAAATTTTTTCTCAAAAACATGTAAGGTGAAGTACTTGAAATTGTGTTAATTACAATTCTTAGAAAAATGGACTCACATCATATATTTAAATGAATGTCTATTTATCATTTGTTCATAATATTTAGATTCTGTTAAGTTGATAATAAATTAAACAGATTCATGTAAGTGTCGAAAAATCTTTTAAATTGTTAAATCATAGTTCAGTAAACATGAAAAGCTGCATTTTTATGGCCATTTTTATAGACTTCTGGATGTTCATTGAGTTATATTCACCCATATCATACTGGTTGTAAATATGTACTTAAACTGTTAGAATGCTCAGCACTTAATTTCACTCCATTAACACTATGCTCACACTGTGTTGTTAAGCTAAGTTGTAGGTATCTTACTGAATCTTTTAGTAGAACAAATGAAAGGGTGTTATTATATTGTTGATAGGTGTTGATATATTGAATTTAAAATGCTCAAAATTAGTCAAAAACCAAGGTCAATTCAGCCTTTATTAATTTCAGGTCTGAAGTTTTCAGGCTTTGTTCAAACATGAAATGCACAGGAACTCATTACTATTGTTGCTAGGTTGAATTGTTAGATAGACAATTTGTTACCTAAAATAGAATGCTCCTCAATATATTGTCCCCAATCCTCCAGCTCAGACAAGTTCCTGTAATAAAATGGATTTAGAAAATTGTAAGATATAGGGTGTTTCATAATGACCACCTCTCCCCCCCCCCTCCCCCCCCCCATCCACAGCTAATCATAGATCAAAAAACATAAAAACCTTTATCATATATCACAATAAAGCTTATTCAGAGATTTGGACTAATGGGCCAAATATTCATCTTGTTTTCTCCGCTCCCATCAGTAGACTTTGTATATTATTTAGTTTAACATTCATGACCGTCTTTATGTGGCATGGAGTGTATGCTATTAAAATTTAAATGGGTACCTTTTGTTGGGATGTTGTCCCAATATTTTCAAAATTGAACTTTCAGGGTTATGTTATCTAAGATTGGTGGTTGGTGGGGCCCACCATTATGAAAACCCTAATATTCTAAATCAACTCAATGTGCAGATTATTAGATTATATTGTCGAAATTATCAGTGCAATTTCACAATGTGCCAAATCACCACATTATTATGTAACATTATGATAGTGGATTAGTTTCAGCCTGAAGAATGCAAAGAGTTACATTCTACTGTTACAGTATCTATGTAACTCTTGCATTGTGGTAAATACTAAATCAAACCTGCTATCAAAAGTCAGAAATACAAGATTTGTGTAAATATTAAAGTTGATTGTGTATTGTCTTCACTCAAAACTGAGATTTTGGTGTGGTCAAATTCCAATGCATAGTGGTACTTATCACATAATGGAGAGATACTGGGGCTATAAATCCCATATCATGAAATTATTCAATGTCCACTATATTGAACTCAAATCCAGGGATCTTGACCTGTCTGATAAAGCATCAATGAAAATAGATTTTATTTAATGGATATATATTCAATTTTATGTATAATACTCTGGCTTGGGAATGTAAGAAATTGATATACCTCGTGTCATTTGTTACAAAAGTGCAAATTCACTGCATGTTCATGCTTATGTAGTCTCTAAGAAATAAATGATACAAATGATACAAAGAAATTGTTATTATTAAAGTATTATATCCCTAAAAAATTAAGTCACCTGGGTAAATGGAATTCTTATTTGATTTTCCAAGATGTCAGTGGAAATAAAGGATTATCATGAAAATTCAAAACAATATGAACTCTTTGGGGCAACAATACAAGTTGCACTTTGGTGCTCCTTTTGATTTCTAGGAATAAGTACTTTTGTTGTATCCTTTATTTATTTCAAGTTATTGGACATACATATTCCCAAAGACATAATGTGTGCATTAAAGATCAGTTGAAATATGAAGCGATATTACGTAATACAACAAAGGTTATAGATAGTATTGTATCAAGGTTCTGATTCAAGATTCTGTGTTTGTAGCAAAGTACTTTTACTTATTTTCTTAGAAAATAACTATATGAAAGTAAGTTCCATGTACATATATTTTGATAATATGTTGATGCAGTAATGGCCTGTTGCCAGGGGGTCCGAATCCCCCCTGACCAAAAACTCCTTCAAAATCATGCAGTTTTCACCATTCCGAGCCAAAGTTGTCAAATCTGAACCCCCTGGATTTTTTTGGGGAAAGAGACCACTCCACCTTAGCAAAGGCTGGCTGGAGGTCTGCCTGCAGTCTATTATTCATGCAGGTCACTGCAGTCACAATCTCAATACATCATCTTTGCAATAATGGTATAATTGAATGTAGTTGTCATGAAATTGAATCTAGTCATGTAGACATATTTATTAATTAAAATAGCTCTTATTTGACTGCAAAACATTTTTATGTCAACACCAAAAGAATTGACGACATTCTGTTATAGTCTCCAACTTTTTGTGTTTGGCGGTTTGTGACTGGCATTCAGCTTCTGTAACAAATGGCAGGTGGTGATATTTTGCATATAAATTCCTTGTTTCAAATTACTATCCCATCAAATGATGTTGTTGTTTTCTTTTGGACATCTCAGACATTTCCTGTTCTTCTCAATGATTCAAGTGTCTGGCTTGATGCAAGAATAATAGCTCTTTAGACTTACTAATTATTTTTATTTAAACGATTTTTGTTCGTAACAGGTGTCAAGAAAATGTGTTCACATTAGACATTGGGATGTAACTGTTCACTGTACTTTAAGAATTGTGTTGTGAGGTGTTCACATTCAAAGGTTCTCTTACAACATGTACAATGGGCTCAATTGAAGATAGAAATAATTTGACTGAAAAGTGTTCATATTGAGAAGTATTCATATTCTAGATATACAGGTTATACCATACTGTATTTTTGGCATTCTATTGTTCAAAGAAATATGTTGATTCAAAGAACTTGGGAAAATTCCAGTTTGGCATTTGTGAAATTTTTCCTGTATAAATTTCGTTACCCTTTGCATTCGTTTCACTTCACTTCTTAAAAGAGAGCTTCGTTAACTAGACTCTGCATGCAGGGTAAAATTTCGGTCAATTGGTGTAAGAAACTATTTACAACTTGGCCATCAACCTACTTGGCCTAAGTGTCTTACCGCCATTGCTTATATGCAGGGACATTTGTACCCATGATGTCTGGTGACTTTGGAACAATGTACATGTTATGCCTATTATACTCTTGTTCATTCTATATATGGATATGTCAGTTAGTGTATTCTTAATATATCATATCTCAAACCATAAACTGGATAAGAATTCGATGACCTTATCACAATTACAGATATTTTAGATAAACTTGACTTGATTTGATGAAGTTTTATGTTTGTGCTTCTTGAATTTATTTTAAACAATACCCTAACAAGAGAGTTTGATAACATGATAAGGAATTGTGTAGCCAAGGTTGTTGAAATCAATCTTAAAATTACACATCTTCATAGATCTTGATGGGACCAGATATGCCTTAAGTCTTGTGAGAATCAGTCAGCATTTGACATTGGATTGTCTTAAAGCTTTTTACAAATCAAAAGATAGTACATGCACAGCTAAACTTGTAAACATAAACACCTCTGTGAAGCAAATGCCTGCTTATAGTGGAGCATTTTCTCTCTATACCCTGTGATTTGAAGCAGAAAAATGAAGCTTCACCCTGTGAAATGTTCAAAGCTGAATATTTTAGGCAGCTTCACTGGTGTTCAACTATACAAGTATCACTGTATATGTTTTTCTTACACAGGAGGCCATTTCAGTGTTATCATTGTTTGATAATGTCATTGTTATCATATCTTAGTCTTGTTTTATGCCTCTTGTCTCTTTGATTGCTTTTATAAGTTTGTGGTACTATATTTTCTTCTGTGAACAGTTGGATTTGTAAATAACATGTTTATTTGCCGTTCTGTTGTAATGTATAGAAGGTGAAGGGTTGGATGTCAATGCAAATGCAATCAAAGGTCAAATGCAATTAAGGGTCAAACAATGGAATGTTGAAAGTCTGAAATAAGTTCATACTTCTACCACTGGCAATCTGTAGTCTTGCATCAAGCCTTTTAACCCCTAGGGCTTGGAGCAAGACTTCCAATTACTAGTATACAAATATGTAATGATCTTTGGATCAAATCAGCCTGCACCTTCATGAAAATGAATGGAATGCCATGTTAAAGGCAGAATCTGATGTTTAGGGGGTGACAAAATTATAAGCAACATGTATAATTGACCTACCAATCTATTCCTTACAATATCAAATACAATATTTCTCAAAAGATTCACAATATGTTATAAATTGGTGAAGTTATTAATGATTCAAAGTGCAAAAATGGGTGAAAAATGTTTAAATTCTCCCAAATAATAAGAATGGTAACCATTCTTATAGGAAAATAATACATTATTGTAAAATCTTTAGTTTTCCTGGAATAAAGTATGCACTTTTGTGACATAGACATGACAAGGAATGACATGAGCCAAAAAATATTCTAAAACTGAAACAAATATCTGATTCTCTCTTTAAGATAAATGTCAAAGAAATTGAAAAGGCCAAGGTCAAAGAATTCGTTTTCCGAGGTGTAATTAATTTCAACTGTCTAAAGATGTCTGTAATGGGTTTTGAAGAAGGTCCCTTTGATATACCCGTTATAAGAAGCCTGATTTACAGGGTGATGGGTTGCTTTTTCTAGGCATTTGGAGAGATCACCGCCTTCAATAAGTTTCTTTCATATCGCTTTTTGAGAAAAGAAATATGTGATGAGTATCAAAATGATTTCTGGATACATAAGGGAAAATGATAATTTATCAAACACAAATTGATTCAAATGCAAATATTATGCACTAATGTCAATGAATACAAATGACATCTCCAGATTGTTCAACTTTTCAAAAGGTTAAGCCAATTCCATAGTATTCTTGTCAGGGCCAGGTCTCTGTATTGGAGAATGGGATGATTATTTCACAGAGGCTGTTTACATTCTTTATCTTTGGCTATGATATCTCATTGAATTCGAAGCTTACGATTCATTGTTTTACTCTAGACTAATAATGCACTAACTTTAAAATTGGTAGTAAAGTTCATCACAAAGATTATAAGAAGGTTTTGTGTCAATATTTCAACTGATAATCACTGAGAGATTTTTATATAATATCAGTTCGAGTGTTGGCTGTGAAGAATCTACATGTATGTACCCTTAATATTCAACTTAGCCAAGTCATGGACCCGCGTTTCTTACCTACACGTACATGTACTTCTACTCACACATGGGGCATTTGATCCATCGAAGTATCTCACCGAGGATTTGAGGCAAGATTCAGGTG